AAAACAAAATAAAATAAAGAAGAAAAATGTCTGCTTAACAGGATGTCTCTGCTGTCATTGGTAGACTGAGTGGGCAGACTGAGCCCAGGTCCTTGTTACTTAATTCCAGCAAGATAGCCATAGTGCCTGGATGTCCCCCCAAAGCCTCATGTGGTCCTGAGGGGTGGACCTTTCAGAGGCAGCTGAATCTAGAGTTCGTGATTGGTTCATTGTCTGTTGCTAGGATTGGAAGTGTGAGTGCTACCCCCTCCCTAGGGCAGGTAGCCTGCATACACTCTAAGGGAGGAAAAGAGGCTTGCTTCCTCCCTTTTGTTCTTGCTACTTTTGTTGTCTTCTGCTGCCATGATCTGTGACCCTTGTGCCATGCCTCCCTGTTTTGGAGCCAGCTGACTGTGGACTGAAACCTCTACAAACTGTGAGCTAAATAAACCTTTCCCCCTTTAAAGTTTGGGTGTCGAGTATATTGTCCCAGCAAGGAGAGAAAAGTAATTAATACATGGATAATCCTAGGAAGCCTGTACCTTTAATTCTACTGAAGTCCAGCCTAGTTTCTGAGTGTGAGGCTGGATCCTGATTCAGCCTACAGCACTAGCAGTCTGTGTGCCTCCTGCTGGCTTAAACTCAAAACCCTGCTGCATGAACTCGGCTCCTTGGCCTCCTGCTGACTTGAACTCAGTTCTGTCTCATCCCAACACGAGGAGCCAGTCTGTAGCTGCTCTGAGTTCTGTACTCAGTTGGCCCCTCTCCAAGTTGGCTACTGGCCAACTTGGAGTCACTGTAGTCCACTGCTCCATTCCACTGGTATGTTTCTCTATGGAGGCCTCTGGGGTCGCCAGTAATTACCATGTGTCTGCAGGTTAGAGCTGCCCCTCCCATGCAGAGTCAAGGCTCAGGGAGAAAGTGCCACATGGTACCTCCTTCTGTGTTGAAGTCTCTCTCTTTGCTCTCTCTGTGGACTTCAATTCAGGCTTCAGCTCCTTACTGTGTCCTGGGGAACCATTTCTTTCCTTTTTCTCTTTACATGGCTGTATTCCGCTGTCTGGACAGCAGATTTCAGAGAGGGTGTTTCTGCTGTTCACCATTGTATCATCTTACCTGTAAAATAGTTCAAGAATAACTCAGAATGTGTTCATTGTATTACTGCATAACTCTAGTGGTGTTCAGAATAGCTGAAAAGTAAATACCTAATTCTTTGAATTCTGACATCTTTAATCTTTTAAACAAAGGGAATTATCACTAGTAGTGCTCGTCAAAGAGATGCATTCAATTTAAAGTATGTGGAAAACACAGTAGAAATCTTTCCATAATGGCAAGATGCTGTGTCCAGCACAGCTCTCAAAATTCTCAGGGGGAAGAGTGGTGGAAGCTGAAGAAATAAAGACAAGAGTCATAAAACAGAAAGCTGAGGTCAGGTGGAGCCCTCTCTGGATGGGAGAAAAGGAACTGCTCAATGACCAACCACAGTGAATTTATACATTCAGCAGGTTGATGTCATGTGACACCCTTCTGCCTAGCAACCTGATTTGCTTCTGATTTATTGCTCGATGTATAGGTGGATACAGGCATCCTAGCCTCTCAACAACCAAGCCAGACAGATACTAACAGAAAGTATCTTTTTAAAATTTTTCTGTTAAAGATTTTTGTGTTTGCATTTTAAAAACTAGTGAATAAGAGAGGCCTCAGGCTTTAATAATCTCAGCTTTTTATGTTTTGATTTTGAGATTGGTGTGTTTATTTGTTTTGAGACCATCTTCCTGTGTAGTGCAGATATGCCTTAAACTTACCTGTAGCCCAGGCAGGCCTCAAACTTGCCCTGATTCTCCTGCCTTAGCCTCCCAAGTGTTGGGATTACAGGTGTGTGCACCATGCCTGGTTTTACATTTTAAAATAACCAAATATTTCATAGTGCATGAAAAAGCAAATATTTCATGATTTATAAAAAAGCTAATTATGGTGTCTTCGGGTTAGGCCTGCTGGGTCCTAGAGGTTGAACCCTGGCTCTGTGGTGCTGAGCATGTCCTCCATAGTTCCACCACCTTGTTGCACCCAGTCCCAGGATGAGGATATCTATGATTACTCATGGTACATTTGTTTTTTAGACTAAAAGTGGTTATTTTAGAAGGCCTTAAAGTTTTGTAGAATATTTCATATAATTTATATATAAAAATACAGTATGCTAATTAATCCATTATTTTTATTTTACAGTAAAATTTTTTTATATTACCTTTGTCTACTGTGAATAAAATTGAACAGAACTTTTATATTTGTGACCTGGTTTCTGAAAGTGGGTAAAGGGTGTAATTATTCTACTTTGGAGGACTTCTGTGTCTGAATTTACAGTCTCTTCAGAAGAAAATCCTTTTATTTCTACCTCTCCTTTGGTGCATTAGTTACTATTTAGTTACTGTGGAATTTAGAAAAAAAAAACAAGCTCCATTGGAGGCATACATTCCTAACAATTCTGCAGGGCTCTTTCTGTTGTTAATTTGCTTGTGTTTTGGGTAGGTGATGTAACCATTATCCGCAACACTCAAGGTGCAAAAGTCAGCAGATGCCAGAGTCATCTTCTGGTCATGCCCTCTGTTACAGTTACCTGCCAGAGGCAGTGCTGTCTCCAGAGAGGCTTTTATATGCCCAGCATAAACATGAGTGTGCTTATACATGCAGACTCAGTTACATGTTTTGTTACATCACCTGTTTCTGCATATTCTGTTCAAAACTGCTTATTTTTTCCCTTAACAAAATAACTTTCAAGAAGTCCCTCTAGGTCATGAAGACCTTCCTCTTTTTTGTGTCTTCAGAGTCTGTTCTAATTGTTCACTTTCCTTTGTAGAGAGTTGGGGCTGTAATCTCTTTCTATTTGAAGTGATATTGATAACTGCACAAAGTGATCATGTGTACAGTAACCTGTAGGATTCTTTCTTATATAACGAAGTTCTTTTTTTTTTTTTTTTTTGGTTTGGTACTGGGAATAGAACTCAGGACCTTGTGCTTGCCTGGCAGGCACCTGTGCTGCTGAGCTATATCACCAGCCCCCTATAACGAAGTTCTTGATGTACAAGAATATATTTTACTTAGTAATCTTTTGTTAACTTTCTGGAATATATTTTAATTCATCTGTGTATCAGTCAGGGTTTTACTAGAGAAACAGATATAACACAAACGTATAAATTACAAGATTGGCTTATGACAGTCAGCCACAGAATTGGATGAGGAAGCTTGCAGAGAGTGTCTACACACTTGAGACTGAAGGATTCAGACCAAGGTCTGGAGTTCACTGCAGTGTTCCATGGAGGTCTGTATCAGGAGACCTATGGGTCTGAGACAGAAGGCTGTAGGATCCAAGGCAGAAGCCTAAGAGTGCACTGGAAGCCAGGAGACAACGTCTAAGCTGAAGGCAAAGACGAGCTCCTCGGAAGAATTGAAGCCCCTCTGTCCTTCCTCATTTGCCTTTTATATCATCTAGGTGATGAGCCACCCTAGGGTGACTCCTCTACACCCTAAGGTATAGAATTGCTGAGCCAATTTAGTTAAGCTTCTAAACTTCTCAAGTTGACATAATCAGTCAACCACTACAATAGGTAATTTCAGGATTGAATGACAGTAGGAAAGTAGTATGAAATAGTAAGTCTTTTGTACCTAATTGTTTCATCATTCTTTTTTATAATGTGAGGAATCAGCTAATTTTGTTTATAACATTTTTTCATTTCAATTTCAATAAAAAATTTGGACTTAAAAGTTTTTTAGAATAGGATTTTGCAAAATATAATTTCACTTAGGTTAATGAGAGTATATTTCATTCCTCACTTAAAACATTAAGTCTAATACAGTGGAATGGGTACTTCTAGGTTATAGTTGGAGCATTAAAAATATCTGAGTTGCACTTTACAGATTTTGTAATATAGTTACAGGGCAGTAGGTTTTGTGTTATAGTTTCAAAAGATTTTGTTTGTTGAAAGTTTGGTGCTGTCTCCACATTATGATTTTTAACATACTACTTTTGTGCTGTAGAACGTGTCTGTCTTAACTGCTAATTCCCAGATGCTTAAACTGCAGTGATAAATTACATCATCGTCAGTATGCATAATTGACACCATTGTATTAATTAGTCATCTTTTTGAATGTTAGCTCTGTACTAGTTTATGTTTTACAAGTGTTATTTTATTAAATTTCACAATAGCTGAACAAGTACAATTATTCTCATTTTCAGATTGTTAAACTGAAGTTTACCAGGGTTTTACAGTGGGCTAAAGGTAGTGTAAGCAGCAGAGCTGGACTGGAACTCAAGCCACTCTGGAGCTGTGACTTTGACTCCTCTGCTTACTGCCTCTTGTGTAGGCTGGGCTGAGTGCGGCCTTCATTCTCTCCACCCTGTTGGGTCAGCCTAGAATGGTCTCTGTTCTTCAGTTACCGTGTGCTGTACCATCTCAGTTGAACGACCCTTCTCAGTCACCAGCACCTTCTGTGCCATGAGTGTGGGCTTTGCTGTCCCCTGGGGATCCCCTGGGATGCTTGCCATAGGTCTTAGCTGTTGTTAATATGACATTTTATTAGGAACCTCTTGGCTTAGTTGTGAGCTTCTAGAAGTCAATGACTGCTTGTTTTTGCCTATGATATTTCATAATGTATTCAGTACCAGGTTAAGGCACTCAGTACTGGAAAGAATGAGAGAAAGGGAAAAGATTCTCTTTTTGTGACTAACCACTGCTCATAACCTTTTTTGCTTGTGCATATCATGGACTGATACTACATTAGCAGTTTTAGTGAAAAATAAGCTATTTTAGATGCTTACCAAAAATTGTATGAATTTGTAAAAATTATAATGATGTCAGTAATTCACATTGAATTTCTGGAAGTGTTGGCAAACATAACAGGGAACAAGGTATCAAAAATTGAACTCAGTGTTTTTTCAGAAATACCCTTAAGAATTATCATTATCATTTCCAGGTATATATTTTGAAAAAGAAATTTTTATAATATTTAATTTTCCTTCTTTCCAGTGTTGAAGGGCTCCATGCTATTGTTGTATCCGATAGAGATGGAGTACCTGTTATTAAAGGTAAAGCTTCATACTTAAATGCAAATCTCATGTTTGCTTTTTACTAAAAATGTATGTATTTTAACTTCTGAGTAATGCAGAAGGCAAATACATAAAACTTATTTGAGCAGATTGACAAGAGACCCTCATTTGTGTTAGCAGAATGATTTATATGTGTGTGCACATATGTTTCAGTCAGTGTTGCTGTAGGTTTTAGAACAACACCCTGAATTAGTCACTTTCCATTGCTGAGACACAGTTCCTGACACCTGCAATTTAGGGTGAGGGTTTGGTCCAAGCTTGGCTGGTTCCAGGGCAGAACAGGATGGTGGAATGTCTGCTGTGTAGGAATGCTGCTCACATCCTGGCCTGTCATCTTACATTCCTGATATCTACCTTAAGATACAGATTAATCAGTATATTTTTGTAAATAGTATTCTGGTTATCTGAGACCCATCCTAGGACAAAATAATGAAGAAACCTAAGAATCTTTGCTTTCATAACATGCACAGTAGTACTGTTATAGACATTAATTATCCTGCAGCTGGCTACATTTTTGTGGTACTTGAGTAGTAAGGTGACAGTGTAAATAATTAAAATAGTAAAAGTGAGAGCCAGCATTTCTTCCTTTAGTTACGATCACTGAATTTCTGATAGAGCAATTTTCCCATGTAAATTGATGAGACCTGATTAGTGGCTTGGTTTTAGTATTGAACTTAACTTTTATGATCAATTTTTTATGGGTTTCTTCTTTTTTTTTTTTTTGGTGCCGGGAACCAAACTCATGACCTAGTGCTTGCCAGGCAGGTGCTGTGCCACTGAGCTATATCCCCAACCCCAGGTTTCTATTTTTTAAAAAGGTGCCATAAACATTCTCTCTCCATATCCACTATGGATTTTTTACTTTCTCTTCCAGTGGCCAATGACAATGCCCCGGAGCATGCTTTGAGGCCTGGCTTCTTGTCTACTTTTGCCCTGGCAACAGACCAAGGAAGCAAACTGGGACTTTCAAAAAATAAAAGCATCATCTGTTACTACAATACCTACCAGGTTGGTCCATGGTTATCAAATGGTTTGCTGATGCTGTGCTTTTTGTGTTTCATGTAAAAGACCTGGTGTTAGGATTCTGTGTTTGCTTTTAAGGGCATGAAAGTTTTTAAGTTCTTAGCTTTTAAATTGGTTATGTTAAAACTAGTAATGTTCTTTACATTGTTATACCAGGGAATAAGTACTATGGAGGAATATTTAAAAGACTTAAAAATAAAACACATCTTAAAAATTATATCACTGTTAACTCCAGTAGATGGTGCCGTTGACTAACCAACTGATTTCTCAGCCTACAGTTTTTGTTGTTGTGATAGGTAGATGAAAGTCACATAAGTTACTTACATTTGTCGTAGTTGCTCATCCTTTCATTTTGTTTGAAGTACCTGTGTAAAGAGTGAGGTTACTGTCTGTGGGAAGAGAATTTCATCAATATGAATGAGGTTGAAGCTACATGTTTTAAAGGTGATTAAAGATAATGTAAATTTAAAATGACTTAAATTGCAGTGATAGCAAGAGGAGAAGTTACAAAGGGGAAACTGTGCAGCTCTCCTTTGTCCACGGGGGACTCAGCCCAAGGACCAAGGGTATCTGTAACTGCAGAGCAGTGAGGCTCATGTGCACAGACTTAGGATAAGGTTAACGTATGAAGTAGGCATAGAAAGAAATAATGATGGCTGGACATGGTGGCACATGCCTGTAATGTCAGCCCTTGGAAGGCTGATACAGGTGGGTCGCCTCAAGTTCAAGGCCACCCTGGGCTACATAGTTCAAGGCCAGCCTACACTACAAAGTGAGATGCTGTCTCAAAAAACAAAATAAAACAAGAAAACAGTGATGACATGCTGTAGATCTTAGCAACCTTAGCATATGACTTTTTCTTTTTTTATTGAGAACTATTATCTTTTCACCTAGAGGAAGCTCTGTATGCTTTTCTTTGGCATATTCTAAATTGCCAGCATCACTCCTTGGCTTTGGGCCATTATTAAGAAAAATAAGGGCCACTTAATTAAAGCCAAACACTGCAGTAGTATGGCAGTCTGTCTGATAAGTGGGGTGGTTAGTGGGTGACTTAACAGCTAGTGGGTGACTAATGTAGGTGGTAGCTTGTATAGTGTGGGGGTCCTTGGGCAGAGGGTGATCCTGTCCAGAGTGGACTAGCATAGCTTAGCAACCCATCATGTCATTAGACTGGTGAGCAATTTAAAACTGAGGGATTGTTTATTTCTGGAATTTTCTGTGTTAATATTTTTAAACTATGATTGAGCTTGAGTAACTGAATCCTTAGAAAGCAAAACCACAGATAAGGGCAACGACATTATGGTACTTGAATGACATAGAAATTTCCACTATTTTCCATTGAATTGCCAACTGTTTATTGAACCTGTAATGGGACACATGGGCTTTAGAAATAAAAAGATGAAGACATATTTCCACCTTGAAGACTTTCAGGCTAAGTGGTGTTATTGTCTCTAAGATAGGTCTGTTTATGAAGCCCTTTTCTCTTAGCTCCTTCATATTCCATGATGTAATACCAGGGTGTTATGCTAATAACATTGACCGTTTAAAAATTTTTGAAAGATTAAATATTTCTGTTGAGTTATATTACCTTTTCACAGTATATCATTGTATTTGATCTTACTTTCTTTGCAGGTAGTTCAGTTCAATCGTTTACCTTTGGTGGTGAGTTTCATAGCAAGCAGTAATGCCAATACAGGTGTGTTTTAATTACAACTTTTAATTCTTTATATCACCATATCTGTGCAGTATAGATGAGAGGTTTATTTTATTTTTTTTTTGTTTTGTTTTTTTTCTGGTACCGGGAATGGAACTCATGACCTTGTGCTTGCCAGGCAGGCGCTGTGCCACTGAGCTAAATCCCCAGCCCCTAGATGAGAGGTTTAGATTTGATGATCTGTTAGGTCTCTTCTATTTCTAAACATTTTGAAGTTCTCAAATACTATGTAAAAATACTTCGCCTTGTGGGATAGTTGATGTCAGTATTTTAAGTGTACTAAACGCCAGTTTTTATGTCAGCAGTCATCACATACCAAATCATCAGTTCTTATATATTGTGATAATGTACAAACTTAGATTTTAATGCTTTTCCTTGAGACTACAGATACTTTTAATATTCCATAAAACAGAGGAAGATATTTGTGTGAACAGAAAATAAGCACCAAGGCACCTAACCTTCCCTTTGGTAAACTAAGAAGCAAGATGTATAATTTCTAAATGCTTTTGTCTCTCAGATTCATTATTGACCATCAGTTTGAACAATGTGAATGTGTTTTCTATTATACCATTCATCTTTAAAGTATTTTTTTTTCCATGTGAAATACACTGCTATTCTTTGGTTTTATTAAACTTACAAAATAAACTTCTAATTTCCTTTGCTCAATATTGAAGCAGCCTATTTACCTCTTTTGATATAATGTGCAAATTTGTTCAGGAAGAAAAAAATGTACTTTCTTTTGTGAAAATCATGTGAATGATTTGGAGTTAATGCAAATTTGGAAACCAGGTATAAATTAAGGGTTTTTTTTCCTTTAAAATTTCAGTGACTAACTATGATGCATATAATTCATTTTATATGTACCTACACAGATTTTTTTCATCCATCTGCTTAATAGTTGATGATGAAAATGTGCTATTCAAAAACATTTTGCTGTGTGGGATAGTATGATGTCAATATTTTAAGTGTTCTAAGCTTCAATTTCAGTATCACAGTAGTGCAAATGGAATTTTTGGTTACTTTATTCAGAATTATGGTATTTAGTTTTAGTTATCGTTTACTTTTTAGTAACTAGATTTTAGACAAGAGTGAATTTTTTGTTATCAAAAGTGAATTTAAGTTAATAAAATTTAAGAATATTTTTCTAACAATATAATTTTTTAAATCTTTTTGTTTTAGGACTGATTGTCAGCTTAGAAAAGGAACTTGCTCCATTATTTGAAGAACTGATAAAAGTTGTGGAAGTTTCTTAATCTTAACTGTGGTTTCAGTGTGCACCTTGTTCTCATTGTAACAACACAGTATCAATCCAGCAATCTTTAGACCACAGTCATCCTTTTATCCAGGTACTCAAAAAAGGGCCCTCTTTCCACCTCCTACTAAAGAAAGAACCTACAGACAGATGGTTGCATTTTCTTGTATAAGCTCTTTTCTTGTTTAGTGAGATCAGAGGCAACCACAGAAGTGGTTCTGTCTACACAGCTCCCATGGAGTTAGTCTGGTGTCCAGGTTAGGGTGAGAGCCTCCTCGTGGGTCTGAATCACAGCAGCACATAATCCAGGCGAGGCGCCGTGCTCGCCTTGTACAGCACTCCTGGGCCTTTGCGTGTCAGGAACAAATGAGGGCATCTTTTTCTTCAGATTATGCTTTATTTCTTTAAATTGAGTGTAAGGCTTAGTAAAAGTAATAAAATCAGTACAATCACTAACTTTCCTTTGTACATATTATTTGGCAATGTGGGTGAATATTACTAATTGATTTGGTTCTCAGAGGATGCTGCTCTTTAATAAAAGAAAAATTATACCATATGTTTTTTCTTCCTATTCTGCTTTCTATAACCAATCAGTGTTTTAATGTTTATGTGTTCTTTATAAAATTTAAATATGATTTTAAACTGAATTGTTTCCAATATAAGGATGTATGTAAACATGATAGTATAGCCATTTTTTTCATACATGAGTATGAATAAAGTAATTTTTTAAAAATACAGTTTGAGCAATATGTAAGTCTTTTTTTACCCACATTTGTTCCAAAAGCTTATGAAGAACATAATTAAGTGAACTGCTGTTTCCACCCCATGAGTCACTGAGGATGTTTCTTCTGGGTACTGGTTTCGGTTGGAGATTTTTTTTGCCTATTACTGTCTCGCAGAAAATGAACCTCATCCATGACAGAAATACCTCAGTTCTTGAGCGTGCCTTTGTAGATTCAGGAATGCTGCCCATCACTCACGTCGTCCTTTTCTCCTTAATTCTTTGACATCTTGTCATTCATGTAAGTCAGTACATAGGCATTGAACACCTGGGCCTGTCAGTCACCAGGGCCACCACTGTGCAGTACTGAGAAGCCCCGCTCAGTGACAGTGCTGTGAGGAAGCTGTACAGGCAGGTCCTGTAGAGTCACAGCAGGGGCCCTGAACCTCATGAGAACAAAGCTGCATGGGAAGCAAAGAGCGATTTACCTGCAGAGTGCTGTACACAGCTAATTGCTGTGACCTAATGAAATACTAGACATTCCTGTAAAATACGGGATTCTTGTTATCTAAATTATTACTTAATGGCCATGAAATCTTTTCCAGTGAAATGATATGTGAAACAAGGTCTCCTACAAATGAAGTGGCCCTATTTTTATTTGCAGGTAATAATTATGTGTCTAAAAATGCAGAAAAAAACTATAATAATCAGAGATAAATAATCTTTGCATTTCCAGTATTGGTACTATTCTGTTTTGATCTGAGGGGCAAAATAAATTATTCTACAGTCCATCTGGAAAAATTGGCATACATAAAAGTTGCTAAAAACTGTAGAAGGTAGTATAAAACCATGTGTACAACCCAGAAACTGACTCTTCTAGGTCATACAAATGAAATACAACATAAGGATGACAGCTTAAGTTAATGGGGAAGGACTATCTGATAGTGGTAGTATAATTTATTCTAATAAATTGTTATACCCCTTAAATACAACAAGTCAGTCACTATCAAGCTTTCTTATACACGTGACCTTTGGTCTAGCAGTTCTAGCATTTTTATTTTTTGAAGTTTTTCTTGGGAATAGGAAGAGCTCCCAGCTTTCCAGGAGGGGCTGAGTTGGTGACCACAAGGCCCCTTAGTCAGAGCTAACTATAGACAGCGCAGGAATTGTTCAGCTGTTTAGAGCCACCTATGCCATGGCGCTCGGTGTCTTTAAAATGGCCAGTAGGAACTCAGGCTCTTTAACCAAGTTCCTAGGCATGTAAGGTTTAAAGGCAATGGGTTTTAGAGAAAAACTGGTTATTTTGCATTTCAAGTTCACAGATGCTGGAGTATAGTAGGGCATGGCTGCAACTCCCTGTAGTAAGTAGTGGGTAGTGTTCCATGTTGCCTGAGGAAATCTATCCTTGATCCAAAGCCCCAATTCACTGCCTGTCTTTATTTTAATTCTTGTCAATATTGCTAATTACCCAACTCTTTTTTTGTTTGTTTGTTTTTTTGTTTTTTTCCAGTACCGGGAATCGAACTCACGACTTGAGCTTGCCAGGCAGGTGCTGCGCTGCTGAGCTAAATCCCCAGCCCCATTACCCAACTCTTGCAGGCCCTCTGTTGCTGGGTGCCTTATTCATAAGCTTAACTCTTTAATTTCTCCCACTCCCCAAGAAGTAGCCCTTATTGCCTTTGGGAGGAGTGAAGATTGGATCTAACTTCAAGCTAAGAAGGGTTGGTATAGGAAACAGCAGTCCAGAGGGCTTTTTCCAGAGAGTTAATGTAAGGGGCTTGGATAGAAGTCGTGTTGGGGTTTAGTAGTTACATGTGGACTCTTCAGAGAGTCAGTCTAGTGGATCTTGATAAAAGGATTTTGCCATGTTCATTGTTGGCTCTATCTGCATGACCATTTGGAGTTTGACATAAGCAGCTTTAGCTCGAGTCATCAGTGTAAGGTGTTTCTCTAAGTCTGCATCTTTGACGGCCTGTACGCTCAGTTAATCTCAGACCTCAGTGTGACCTCCAGTGATGTTAGACAAACCGAGCTCGTGGTCATTCTCAACCAAGTCAAGGAATGAAATCGAAAACTGAAAGAGTTTTTATTGGAAATAAGAATGGCTTCTGGATTTCTAGATGATGTCCACATCGCTGACCACACCTGCCTTTCCCTCAGATGCATCTCTTCTGGAAAGGCTTCCTGATCCTTCTACCCGAGAATCAGTTGAATCTGTTGTACCTGGTGTGTGGCCCACAAACTGGGCCCTTCTGCATGCAGCATGTTAACAGGATACTCACAGAAGGTAGGAGTTAGTGCCTAGAAACTGACAGCATTCCAGCCAGGCGTGGAGGTGCACGCCTATAATCCCAGCGCTCTGGAGGCTGAGGCAGGAGCATCACCAGTTCAGCTTGGGCAACTTAACAAGTTCCAGGGCGGCCTAAACTATGTGGTGAAGCCCTGTCTCAATCAATCAGTAAACTTATACCAGTTTGATATAACTTGAATCTGATAAAAAATTGGGGTTGTAGTTTTTTTGCTGTTCTGAGGGTCAAACCTAGGGTGCTGGACCATTGAGCCCCATCCTCAGCCCTCTTAATTTTTTTCACATTTTTCATTTTATAAAAAAAATTTTATAACAAAGTAGAGAATAACAATCCACTGTGTGTGAGACACTCTTCCTAAATTCTCCAGGCTGCCCTCAAACTCCTGGTCCGCCTACCTCAGCCTCCTGAGCACCTGGGATGATAGGCCTATGCCACCATACCCAGCATGATACTATATTTTCAATTTCATTTTTCTAATCATCTCAAAATGGAATTTTTCGAAATCTCAATCTGTAAGATTTTTTTTTTTTTGTCTTTTTGAGACAGGGTCTCGCTTTGCAGTTCAGGCTAGCTTTGAGCTCACTTTGTAGCCCAGGCTGGTCTCGAATTCACAGTGATCCTCCTGCTTCAGCCTCCCGAGTGCAGGGATTACAAGCATGTGCCACCCTGCCCTGCTAGATCAGTTATTTTTAAGAAAGTGCATCTGATCACCACTGATGGTTTTAGAAACTGCACAAAGTCACAGCCAGGCCCCCATGCCCACTGAGCACAGGGGTCCTACACTGAGTCCCTAGCTGGGGCTGCAGCTCTGAAATAGCTCCGGGAGAGCATGGGACAGGGACAGCACGCAGGAGAGGTCAGGAAGGCAGAGCCCCCTTGTGTGGCCACGGCCGCTGAGGAAGCTGTACTCAACCTGACTCCACTTCCCTAGGCACTGAGGCTCTGTGGACAGCACCTACCCCTGCAGAGGCCTGGCAGAGCCTCCAGCTCCCTTCAGCCCTGGTGCAGCATCCCCTGCAGTAGATGAGGACCGTGCCCAGGCCCCATCCCTTGGGGTGCAGGTGGAGCTCGGCTGGTCCTAGGGACCCTGGGGAACAGTGTGTGTTAGCTGTAGCCTCCAGCAGCCTGCAGCTCTGTTTTGAGCAAGGCCCCATCACCACCTCACACCTGCCCTGCCTCCTGTCGCACCCTGCACTGCCTGAGTGTCCATCATCTTCCACCCCTGCATGGCCCGGCTCTTCACTGGGCTGACGCATCATTGTAGTTGTATTTCCCCTAAGTCACAAATTCTGAAACACATTTTAATAACAAAATAATACACAGCAAAGTCATATTCTTTTTAATAACAAAACCAAAGACTATAAATAAACATGTTTTGCAAAAAGTTAAAGCAGTATTACATACACAGAGAAACACCCTTGTTTCTAAGAAAACCAAACCACACACTTTAGTGAGGGCACAGTGGCGACTTCTGACTGCAAGCCTGACGCAGCACATTTTCACTTGAGATTGACCTTATCCTGTGTAAGACAGACACAAAGCTTATTAAATGTGCTGTAACCTCAACCTCCGATGTCTGTCCAGCCAGGACTCACATAACAAGATGCCCCTTTGGACCACAAGCACAGCGCTACAGCTTTGCACCATGCTCATTTTCTGGTTCTTCAGCTATTTCTGTTCCCCTTCAAGCGTCTATCTCAGCGAGCAGTGTTAATAAAGATAACAGAAGGAGCAAGGACCTGTGGATGTCCTCTGGATACCTGTATCTCATTACTGTTTCATTCCTCTTGTTTCAGTGTGAAGCTGCACTTTGACATTATATATGACATGGGGATTTAGTGTTACTCCCTGAGTGGCAATATAAGCCGTTCTTTAATAAGGTGCAGAGTGCTTAGAGGGTGAATCCTGCACAGCTCCTTCTACGGGTGGGATTGTTAGAACACGCTCTTGGAGAAGTATCCTTCAGCACAGCTGCAGAAATGTCTGCTAAAGGTGCCTTAGTGCTTACAGATGCCCTATGATATAGTTACAACAGTAATAGTTGTAGTTACTATTGTTTTTTTTTTTTTTTTTTTTTTTTTTTTTTCTGGTTTTTCTCCGGTACCAGGAACCGAACTCACGACCTTGCGCTTGCCAGGCAGGCGCTTTTGCCGCTGAGCTAAATCCCCAGCCCCTGTAGTTACTATTGTTAAACTACAAGTTACTTTTTATTACCCTTCCTCCTTATATTTTCTTTTTCAGACATTTCCCCCAAAATGGTTACAAGAGATGTTTTAAAGATTGCACCTTCATTTCCCTTTGTTGTCTTACCCATAGGACATTCCTTGATAGTTTTATTAGAAGAAAAGGACCACTAAATCTCTAAGACTTTTAAAAGGAGAAATAATCATGGCAAACATTTTACATTTTTGGTTTTGGAAACTTTTGTATAAAGAAAAAGCAACTCATGACCCCTCCTTCAAGTCTGCCATGCTTGCTACTGGATTTGCATTGTGAGGAGTATCTGTCCTAAGTCTCCTGGAACCTTGTGATCACAGCACAGCTGGAGGCTGGGAACTTGACCAGGCAATTCAGAAGGGGGCCCGGATGACAGTGTCTGCGGCCTGGGATGCCTTGGGGATGCTGTCCTTTCCCTGTGTGTCCTGAGCCAGCAGACCCGGGCGGGGGCAGCAGCAGCAGCAGCAGCGGTGGTGTTATGGAGGAAGTGGGGTTCCATGGGTCTGCAGCCACACAACATGGGTCCCAGGCCGCAGCTGCTCCCCTCGGCTGTTGCCTAAGCCTGCCAGGGATCCGTGTCAGGCAGGCAGCACCTCACCCTGCTCGCGGATCGGTGCTCTTTGGCAGAAAGGCCTACTGAAAGATGAATGACCGGGATCGGATAGTGCCATCTCCCTGGTTGAGCTGTCTCCTTATTTGTGACTGTAATAAAACACATGTGCATCTGTTAGTGATTTAAGAGACTGAACTCTGAAATATTAAATAATATCCACTGATTAGTAAGGAAGCCATGCAACTATAAGCTAATTATCACCCCCAGTTCTAATCTGATTTTTGTATTTTTCTCAGGAGACGTCATAAAGGGGTTTCCAACACGTGCAATTGGGGAACTGATCTAATACAGTAAACCATAAAATTTAATACTCTTCAATAAATCAAAAGGTAGACACATATTGATGTGGAAAATTGTTTGTAATATATTAAGTGAAATAAGCAGGCAAAGAACACCTGAATATTTTTTTTTTCAGCCAATTTCTTATTAGTACATGTTTGCATTCATCATGGGGAGCTGGTACATGTACATGTCACGTGTTTGTCCTGTGTTCTTCCCCTTCTCCCATTCCCTCCTCTCCCTTCTTCCCTAGATCCCTTTCCCGTCTGCAAGAGGTCTCCCTCCCTGTTTCTTGATGATTGCCATTCTTTCTGGAGTAAGATAGAATCTCAGTGTTGTTTTAATTTGCATTTCTTGACTGGCCAGAGGTTGAATATTTTTTCATATACTGCCCATTTGTACTTTTTCTGAGAAGTATCCATTCACTGCTCTGATCTTTACAATTTCTTTCCTTAATTTCAGAATTAGATTGCTCTTGTTTTTTAGGACCTTGAGATGGCTCATTAGACTATTTATTTGAGATTGCCCAATTATTTTAATGTGTGCATTCATAGCTATAAACTTCCCTCTAAGAGCTGCTTTCACTGTGTCCTATAGGTTTTGGCATGTTGTGCTTCCACTGTCATTTGATTCTAGGAATTTTTTAATCTCTTCCCTGACTTCGTCTGTGATCTATTGATTATTCATAATGTGCTGTTTAGTCTCCATGTGTTTGTATAATTTCTGTGGTTTATTTTGCTTTTGCTTTCTAATTTCATTCCACTATGATCCAATAGCATGCAGGGGATTATTTCAATTCTTTCATATTTATTTAAGCATATATATTTGTTTAAGCCATATATGGCCTAAGACAAAGTCTATTTTGGAAAAAGTTCTGTGGATGCTGAGAAAAATGTGTATTCCAATATTGTTGGGTGAAACACTTCTGTAGATATGTCCATTTATTCCCTGGTGCGGTTTAACTCCAATATTTGTTGTTTGTCTGGTTGACCTGATTGAGAGTGGTATGTTGAAGCCACCCACTATGACTATATTTGTATCTATCTCTCCTTTTATGTCCTGTAATTTTTGTTTTATGGAGTTTACTGTGCCAACATTCTATATGTAGTTATTTATAATTGTTATCTCTTCCTATTGAATTACTCATTTTTTCAGTATGGAATGACCATCTTCATCTCTTCTGACCATTTTTGGCTTGAAATTTGCTGTGCCTAAGAATAAGATAGATATTCTTGCTTACTTTCAGGTTCCAGTTGTATAGAGTATCATTTTCTATCTTTTCACTTTTAGTCTCTGAACTTTCTTTTGAATGAGATGTCTCTTGCAGGCAGTATAGGGTTGTATTTTGTTTTTCAATCAAATTTGACAGTATGTGTCTTTAGATTAGGGAGTTCAGGCTATTGACATTGACAGTTATTATTATAAGGTATTTTCTGAATCTTCTCATTGCATTATTGTACTAGTGCTGATTCCCTTACTTATTTATTTTTGTTGAATTGTTCTCCCAGCTAGATGTATACTTTCCTCTGGGCTCTTTGGTCCTCCTGGCCTCTCTGTTTCTGTTTAGGATTCCCTTGAGTATTTTCTGTAGGGCTGGTTTAGTGGTCATGTATTTCTTTAGGACTTTTTTGTTATGGGAAGTCTTTACTTTGTCAGTTTTGAAGGTTCATTTTGTAGGATATAGAAATCTTGGTTGACAGTTATGTTCTTCTAGGGCTTTCAAAACTTTGCTTCAATCTCTCCTGGCCTTTAAGATTTGTACTGAGAAATCCACTGTAATTCTGTGAGCTCACCTTTATGAGTAACTTGCTGCTTCTCTAACAGCTTTCAATATATTCTCCTTTTGTTGAATTTGTGGAATTTTTTGTATGATGTATTATGGAGAGGTTCTTTTCTGGTCATGGCTGTTTCGGGTTCCATATGCTTGTTGTACTTGAATATTGAGTTGTTTCCTTAGATTTGGGAAATTTTCTGCTATGATTTTAGTGAATAAATTATTTTGTACCTTTAGAGTCATCTTTTAATTTTTCCTTTTTTGTATAATTCTGATTTTTTTTTTTGAGTTATCTAACAGCTATTGGATCCAGCTTGCATGGTGACATCATTTTTAGGGTATGACTGAGTTTATGATCTACTGCATCCACTTTGTCTTTAATTTCTGACATTCTGTCTTTATATTGGCTGAATCTGCTAGTCATGCTTTCCATTGACTTTTTCATACCATGTATTTCTGCTTGCTTTTCATAATTTCTAATTCTCTACCACATGGTCATTCTTATTTTATTTTGTTTTGTCTAACTCATGTAGTTTGTTTCTTTAAACTCATGGAACATTTTATTAGTAAAATCTTTTCTCTGTTAAATAAAACGTTCAAGCTCATATCTTTTAAAGTTGCTTATGTGCTTCCTCTTTGAGTTCTTCAAACATTCTATTTGTCTTTTGCATTTTTTGCCTGTAACTTCCACTTCAGTGTCTGCAAGATCAGCTTTGGAGGGGGCTGCTTCGGAGCATCTTATTGCCTTGCTTTCTCATATGTCTATTGTTTTGGGGCTGCAGGTTGAAGATCAGTTAGGGTAAAGAAACTCTGTCCTTTTAGTTAGACTCTGTCTCCCTTGATGTGTTCTTATGTTTGGGTGTTTGCACTGCTTTTCAGTCCCCACAGCGTATTTTTTGAGGGTCTTCGAAGTGTCTGAGCTGCTTCTGGGGCTTGTGTTTACAGAGACAGCACCTCCTCTCTAAGAGCTGGAGTTAGCATTCCAAACTGTTTTGCTCTTTGTCATGTGTTGTCTTCAGTTTCTTCAGTTGCTCTGTGATTTCTACTTTTCCTGTCAATTCTTTCATGATTTCTGGAGCTGTTCTTTTTCTCTTTGCTAAGCTATTTTCCAGGTATGTAGATTCCATGTCCTGGAGAGACTGACATGCTGTTGATCCACTCTGAATTTTGTTTTTAAATATTATTTGTATGAGGAATCTATAAGTGTGTACATTTAATTTCTTTTTACTTTAATTTTTCTGTGTATGTGTTATTTAATTATAAAACAGAAAATGAGAATCATATCTAGCAAGGTTTCATATGGGAAAGTATGTCCTCCCTGAACGTCAAATACATTGGAACCCTCTCAGAATAAGTGGTATATTAATTTGCATTTCAAACTGAAAAGATGACTGAGAACAAAGGTCTCAGTATCTAGAAAGGAATATTCAACAAAATTCAGAGCTTCCTTTCTTTCTTTGAGGAGGAAGAGTGTGTTGCAGATGGAACCCAAGACCCCCTACCACTGAGCGTCGTCCCCAGACCTAAGAGTCTCCATTTTGAGGAAGTACCTATATATCAGATAATTTCACCAAAAAAAAAAACTAAGAAAAAGATGTTTTGCTTTTGAAAACATCAAGGGTTTCACAGTGCCCAGCCATGTTTGGATGTGTTTGACTGTCATCCTCAGGATCCACAGATGAAGCCTGGTCCCCAGGTGGGGTATTGGCAGGTGATTTCAGAGGTTGTTTGCTGGAGGTCCTTTGGTGATGAGGTGCTGACCCAGAAGGGATGCTGGTTTCCCAGAGTGCACACTCAAGAAAGTATGTTGAAATCTTAAGCCTGACTGGCTGATTTGCTGTCTGAATTCTGGCTTGAGAATGTGACTTGTCCATCTTGAGCGTCCTTTTCCCACCATGAGGTCCTCACCAGACCTAGGCTAGCACTGCCGCTATGCAGTTGAACCTTGCAGCAACTAGATAAACTTCTTTTCTTCATAAGCAGCCTGCCTCAGGTGTTTTGTTATAGCAATAGAAATCAACTAATATATGGTATTTATAGATTTTAGTAACCATTAGGGACAAATTCTTGCCTAGCAACTAACTTTCAAACACATCCAAAAAGTATTTGAGGTGGTAAAGAGATATAAACACTGTGCATTCCTCCTGTCAGATCACAAAAAGCAGAGCAAATCAACCACCTGGGCCTTTGAGTCGTACAAAGTGCTGCTTGCTCTGGAAAATAAGCTGAGTTCTCCTGGCAAACATTCTTCCCTAACAGTTTAAAGGCTTTCAACTGAAGGAATCTGTCTGTTTTCATCTGTGGTGCGTTCTGGCCCCAGTCCCCACTCCAGACAATGTGAACCAACCTGTACACCTTCAAGGAGGACTGGCAGGTGCTTGGGCCAGAGGCTGGGAGCTAAACACCCAGCCATTCTGTCTTTTTACAATACTGTCTCCAACCCTCTTCATGTCCCAAAAGAATGAATAGACTACTCTCCAAAGTGGTCTAACTCCCCAGAAATATGTCAGACTATCAGCATGTTATTTCTCAAGACCAGACATTTGAAGACATGACTCACCAATTTCCATCGCAATATCTTGATCCATTCATCAGCTTCTACTCCTGTCTTCGCACAGAGATAAAAAGTCCTGAATGGAAATACTAAGCTGACAAGACAAGAGAAAGAATGTAAGATGCTCCAGATGAATGGAACACTAGTTAGAGTGTCCCAAGGGAGAAACATTTAAGAAGTCTACGGGTAAGTAGTAACTTGAAGAACTGGCATATACAGTAAACTGTAGAAATGTCTAGGAAATCAAGACTCATGTTACTATAAGCAAGATTTATATTCTGTAGTGAGATTTTGGGAAGAAAAGAACCTGTACAGGAACCTCCTGTGTTCTTTATGAATATGTCTTAGGCTGAGGACAACACTTACATGTTCACTCAGCTGAACTCAACTCAGAACTTGAGCTATGTTTCAAAGACTACACAAGAAGAGAAGAAAGTTTTCTGAAAGAACTCACTTGTGTTTGCTTCCTTGAGGACAAGTGTGCCTTCTGTGGATGCAGGCAGACACTAACCGAGACAATAAAGCTCCTCAGCTATTACTTGGCACATTTCTGGCCATGGAAAGAAAATGAACTTTCCTACTGGAGTGAAGGTTCTTAGTACCATGTCACCTGATCTCTGATTACAGGTCAAAGTCATGAATGATGAGGTCAGAAACAGCTCATGTCCTGAACATTTTTCTGTGCTTACAGTTCTGATGCAAAACACTAAGTTTTTTTCCTTTCCTGAAAAAAATCCCTTAACTAAAACTCTGAAGTTCAGAAGGTTTTCTGTTATCCTAAAGCCTAAGCAGCACATTTGTTGGCCCCAGTCAATGTTGGATAGAGAAGCAGAAGTCCTGTGTTGGGGAGGTGAAACCTCGAGTTAGAGGCACAAGGGCGAGGAGCCCAAGCAGGTAGTGAAGAGAGCTGGCGTGCCCCACGCTGCAGTTTCTGCAGGGGTTGCCACCAGGAGCTCCTGGGAGACACTGTTCGCTGTCTATTAACACAGGTAAATCTCCCTTTCGTGTTAACAGAATCCCAGGCAAGAGCCATGAAGTGGCTAAGCCACTACCACTGTCCCATCCTCTTTGCTCCTGGGGACAGCACTGTCAGTCGTGGCCAGCAGGACACGGAAAATCCATAGGGGCTCCAGGAAACACTGGCTTTCCTGACAAGGAACGGGCTTGTCCAGCACCTTCCCTACGTCTTCATGCCTGTGGACACCCAGGGCCTGAGCTGGGAGAGGAGCAGCCACTTGGACCTGAGCAGCCAGGAGGGGAGATGTTGGGTGGCCCTGGCAGGGAGCCCCTGGCTCTGGGCTCCCTGTCCTGTGAGAAAGATGAAAGTCTGCAGCTCACAAGGCACCTCCATGCGAGTGTCAAGAGGATACTGTGTTGGCTGATAGAGAACTAATGCAGATTTCCTCAGGTGTAGTAATGACACCTTGTTCTACAGCTAATGCTGACATTAGGAAAGACTCAGATAGACATGATGTTCGCAACCCACTTTCACTCAATGAGAAAGCAACGGGGAGCCATAAAGACAAAATATGGCAACACACGGGAGCACCTAAGTGAGGAGTATTTGTCTTCCAACTTGTCTACACCTGATAGACTAAAGTAACACTTGGGAAATTTGTCACGGCTTTCCCAAAACACTTCACTTCTCCCAGTCAGAAGGGTTTCACAGTGTACTGATAATGTTTGAACAAAGCCCTTTCGTGCCATCTGCCAGAAATTGTAGCAATATAAATCAGCCATGATTGGAGTAAAAAACTTATAACTAAAATGGGGAGGGGCTCAGAGAGATAAAGCTCTCTGTAAATGGCGGAGTGTGTGTCCTGCTCGTGCGGTGTGCAGCCTGACTCCAGCCCCACCTTCCTGTGTCACATGCCACTGAAGCACCACTAACATGCTGGCCCTGTGCAGCAGTGAAGTCCACGTCCCTCAGATCGTGCATGTGTAGACACTAAGACATGCAGCTTTAGCCTGAGCCAAAAAAAGTAGATGGCAAGGTTTTAAAAGCATTTCTTTTACAAAGTCAACTTACCAAAAACAGTTTACCCTTTCCTGCGAATAATCAAATTGGACGGCAGAACATTCTGTGAGGTCTAGGATCCGAATTGGTTCTGGTGACTGAAAGAGGAAAAAAGCAACCTATGTCATCCTAAAAGGAACATATAAATCCATCTGTCATCTGTGCCCCGACAAGTCTTCCACTATGTGAAACTGTCACTCTTCCATCAGTTGGAGGCCTGGAACTGGAAAAGCTTAGTAAGGGAGGTCACAACTGCAGCTGTGGGAATCAGCCTTCAGGACACCGAGCACTGGGACATTGCCTTCATCAGGTCACATGGGATGGAGGTGGACGTAACACATGGGAAGGTGTCCTTTTCTCTTACCTATTCCAGCTTTTACCTTCTCAGAGATTTTGTATAAGGAAAGTGATAAGAAATAAAATACTTTATGTTGGCATAGTAAAACAGGCATGGGTGATAGATATATTTTTAAGAAAGGGGGGAATTGCTACAGAAAGATAGTTAATACATTATGGTAAAAGAAAATGAATTCCCCTAAACAGAAGGAATTAGGAGTCCTGGAGAGGTGCAGTTTAGTGAGCTTCAGGGAGATACATCTCATTTTAGAAAATGAATTCTGCTCATATTAAGAATTAGAAACTCATATCTCCAGTAATATATTGTTTCAAGGGGACATAAGGAAAGTCCAATTTTAAAGGCAGATGTGGCCTGTAAGAAAATGTGATATGTATACACAATGGAGTACTACTCAGCCATAAAGAGCGATAAACTTGAGTCATTTGTAGGAAAATGGATGCAGCTTGAGACCTCAATGTTAAGTGAAATAAATCAGATACAGAAGGTTAAATATTGCATGATTTCTATGAGAACTCCAAAGTATGAATAAAGAGCAAAATAAAATATAGGTAACAGGAAACAGGGAGATCAATCATTTATAAATGGGGAGGCGACCGAGAGATGGAGGGAGGGGGATGGGCAAGAGAAGGGAGAGAAAAAGAACTGAGATGTGTTATGTATACACACCAACCCGCTCATTATGTACTGCAAACATATGCTAATAAAAAATTTTAAATTTTTTTTTAAAAAACAGATGCTCCTTTCATCTAGAGAGCTGATTTTAAGGTGAAAATGCAGAATCACATTCCTCACCATCTGATCTTTGAAGTATTTCAGTTCGTTTCTGTGCAGAGTGAACCATCTTGTTTTCCAGGTCTGAGAAAAAAACATTAAAACACACAGGTTATGAATACAAGAACACAGTATTTGAACGAGGTGATTTGTTTTGGAAGTATGTAAAAGATTAGACAAAATAAGTCAGAAAATATTTCTTTTCAAATTTCAAGATATGTACAAAATTTAAAATGATTCCATACATTAAGTTTATAATGGTAACAGAAATACTGTTAATTAGCTCATTTAAACAAATAAAAAGATACAGTCTATCATAAAAATTCAAGATGATTTATAACAAATTACTATAATTTCTACTTTGCTAGCTCTATAATAAAAATAGACGTCACTTCTGAGCACCTACTGGGAGCTACAAACTCTACTTGGAAATATGTTTTTATATATTTATTTATATACATTCTTGGAAGTACATTTATTGTTTATTTATATTTACATTTACGTTATAGCTGGTCCTCACATAACAATACCAAATATTACTTTTGTCTTACAAATACATCCAAGCACACTGTCTTCTAACCCTTGCCAGAGACCCCACGGTGCATGGCACAAACAGTTGCCTGTGTCACCTTCTCGGTGCCAGCAGAGCCTGATCTACCCTGGGGCAGTGTACCAGTGTGAGGGGTGTTGGGGATCTGAGCTCAAATCCGCTGTGAAAGTGAGTGCTGCCTGCCCTGGGAGCACCCAGTGTGGTGGGAACTGGGATACCTGATCTAGCTGGGACTCAAGGGTGGCGAGCACACTGGCCCAGGCACAGCAAGGCATGGACAGCTGGGAGGTGTCACAGCCGCGGAGATGGAGCCCCGGGGACAGCTGGGGAGAGGGGTGGCTGAACACACTCGGCTTGCAAAATCCCACAGCATGTTTTCCTCAGGATATTATAGCTTCATCTTATTAGCATCAAGGATGTTCCCAGCTGACCTGTAAGCAAACCTTTTACACAATCCTGACCTCTTTGTTTAAAAGGGAAAAAGCACAGCACAGACGGCTCTCAGGCAGACTCGCTGCCCTGGGCTTCAGCCTTCCCTAACTGCACACATGTTCTTACTGCTGCCAGCGCCTGCAGAGCTCTGCCCAAGATTCAGTCACACTGCTTTCCCGGGTTCTGACGAAGCATCATAAAAGCGACTCTTGAAATAAACACATTTTCTGAGTGGGTCGAAATGAGTTGGCAGCAAGGCTTTTAACAAAAACACCGTCCACTGGAGAACAAAGAACTGCTTCTCCGGCTGTGGAGAAATGCTCACTGCTCACCTTGACCAGGCCGCCCTGCTTGGTGAGGTAGCCCTCCTTGGTGCCCAGCTGCAAGAGAAAGAAGCCCCGTGAGTCCAGCAGAGTCACAGCACAACACCTGCCTGCCTGCTCTCATCCTACTTTAAAAGGGACAGCAAGGGGGCCTCAACTTTTCCAGGGTCGGCTCTGTTCTTCACCTGGCCCTGTCCATGGGTCCTCGGCTGTCCTTCTGCACTGATGGCCTTGACCAAAGGGCTCCCTGCTGACCACAGCGAGCGGCCTACAGACAGTGGACCATGCCACCCTTCTAAGTCTGTGTTTGTGAAAGTTCTGTGTGTGAGCGGCAGCTGGACAGATGCAGCCATGTCACAAATGTCCAGGCCAACACATCTCAGCCGCCTGTCCACAGCCCTGCATCCTCGACCCAACAAACCACAGGCAGAGAGTTTTGGAAAAAGCTATTGTGAAGACATGTAGATGCGTTCTTGTCACTGCACCTTAACGCAGCCCAGTCATGAATTACACCACCCTGACAGAACATCGAGTGTCATACGTCCCCTAGAGAGAGACTGGACAGGCTGTGCCCAGGGACCTGGGTATCTCAGGATTGGTACTGCCGGGGCCTGAGCCTCCTGCCCCGCAGACACCAGGGTGCTCTGTGTTTGGAAAGCTGGATTCAGGGAATGGAAAGGATTCTGTGACCTTGGGGTGTCCCAGAGCTGCACTGGGCAACATGCTCTGCGTGTTTCCAGCGGGTCCTCAGAAGGAGCAGCCCCTGCCCTTCCTAGCACACATGTGCTCAGAATCCAGATTCTACACAGAGTGCAGATTCATCCACATCTCACGTAGCCAAGGGGACTTGAGGGCTGTGACCAGTTTTTCTAAACAATCTCAGCAGCAGGACCTCTGGGGACAAGGAGGCTGTGTGAAGAGAGTGTCTTGCAATAAGAAGCCTAAGTCAAGAGGTACATGATCTCATAAACTTCTGAAGAGACCAAATTGCAGGTAGGATGTTTTATTCTGATATGATCTCATAATATGCCTTACATTGGTAAGAAAAAAAAGAATGAAAACTGGGAAATGACTTGGATGACGTTAGGTTCTTGTCCTGGGAGTTTCCAGTGTGTTTCTTCCTGAGGTGAATGCTCTCTACCAGTAAAAAGAGGAACCAGTGCCACCACATGGAGAATCCGGGCAGGAAGTGGCACAGCTGTCCACACGGAGCTCTGGGTATAAACGTCAGGCACCTCCCAGAGGCTCATGTCAACAAGGCTGATCTGGTGACCAATATCACAAATCAGCCTCATTATTCTGATGCTGAAGAATTGAATTTAGGTATCAAATAATGACAATGGCAACATTATCACACTGGATTGCTGAGGTTAATGTCTATAGAGAAGCAATAATTCAGAGCATTTATAATACAAAAGCCCTGGTAGAATTATTCACTGAGGAGAAACGCTCTCCATTGGCAGTACACTACAGGTTAGTGTTAGGGATTTTGTATGGTTCTGATGCCTGGCAGCTTATGAGAGGGAAGAGCAGAGAACACTCATTTTATCCAGGATCTCAGGATGTAAGAAATGAAATAATTAGATACAGATTCATCTTCTTCTTTTGTTTGTGGTACTGGAAATCAAACTCACAACCTCACACTTAGCCAGGCAGCTGCTGTGCCGCTGAGCTATATCCCCAGCCCTGAGATTCATCTTCTAAAAATGTATGTATGATTGGTAACAAGAAAAACATTGGTAAGAGCCCAGGTTGGAGCCTCCCTGGCTGCTGCTGCCTTTGCCATGGCTGAAAGCTTGTAGTAAAGGAGGTGAGGAGTGTGAGAGGTCATCTGCATGGACAGCACCAGTGACAGTGACAGGGGTGGTGGCAGCAGGGCAGTGGCAGGGATGGGGCAGGAGGTGGCTCTGCTCAAGGACAGGGTACTGGGGTAGCAGGGCCTGGGGCTGGTGTGAGCCAAGCTGGGCAGCAGGCAGCAGGCTGGGGGCACGAGGCAGGAGCAGCAACTGGAGCCCACTCCATTCAGTCGGTCCAGGAGCACACGCGATGGGGTAATGGAGGCTGTGAGCCTCACAAAAATGGGAAGGGAAACCCAAAATGAGCCGTGTGGCACTGGACTAGCATAGGGGTATTGTGAGCCAAGGAGGTGTGGACAGAGGGACAAATAGAAAGGTGGATGAGTCCATAGATAGGTAGATCAGTAGATTGATAGGTAGACAGACAGACAGGCATAACACAGGCATATGTATGGGCCCCTATGCAGCTGCATGGATATTTTCTCTGACCCTGTTCACTAATTGGGTGGGACATGACATCCCAGTAAAAATAAGTATACAGTCTCAGGTGCTAATGTCTAAAGTGCCACTTTGCAGAAAAAAAGAGCATAGATGATTCCAGAATTGGGCAAAGGAAAATACGAGAAAGCACAGAGCATCTTGTTCCATCGGAAAGTAAGGACATTATCAAAGCATTCAGGGCCCACAGGGACACAGCAGCCATGTTGCACAGCCAAGTCTGTGAAATTTTGAAGAATCAAAATAAGTAATGATAGTCCTGGTTGTAACCCACTAGTACAAAAATAAAAGAGTGGATCAGTGTTGACGATAACAAGCTTTTCCTTGCTGTAGATGACAATAAATACACATAAAGGAACAGGAGAATCGGAGGCTGTTTGCAGCAATCATGGTAAGGACCAAAACGGTGAAGAGAACTCTATCAGCGCCAACACTGGTGGGCAAAGGTCCACGAGGAGCAGGACACTTATGAAGTCTCCTGGAGCTTCTCCAAGCACTTATGAAGTGGCACTGTGGCACAAGACCCACAGTGGAGAAGGCTGGCACGGGAGACACCGCCCTGGGACAAACTGCAACCAGACCAGGACCAGAAGAGGCCCAGATGGACACCTGGGCTTCTTGAGCCCCACATCAGGTCTGCTCAGGACCTACTGCCGGATGAGCCAAGGCTGAGGAAAGGCCACTCAGTAAGCATCTTGGACCTGAGGAAGGGCCAGAGCATGGGGTCAGGAGAGACTAAGGTGGGGTCCCTGGGAGGTGGCCCAGAGGCAGCACAGGAAGTGTGAACTGTGGAGGGGAGTGTGCTTTCTGCTTCTCAAACAAGGATATCGTGGGGACACTGGTGAAACCCGAGGGATCTATGGGTAAGGCGTGAATAGCTCAGGGCTAATTTCTGACTGAGCACAGTGTAGCTGCCTGGAAAACGTTCTGGTTTGGAGGAAAACAGACCCCAGTGTCAGAGTGAGCACAGCAGGAGGCCGGCAACTCTCAGGTGGCTCAGGAAAAAGAAGTTTTTCATGCTATTACTCTGTAAAATTGAAATTTTAAAAAATAAGAATAGAATGCAAAAACGTAATTGAGGGTTTTCTAAGTAAATTGATTGGTTCAAATAATGGACTGCTGGGAAATTTGCTTCATGGTGTTTTAGAAAACTATGTAATAACACAGACAATGTTCACCATGCATCATTAGTGAACACAGAGCTCATTCTATGTACATCACTGTGCATATGGTGGAAGCTTGTTGTGTATTATACGTCACACATACAAACATGGAAGAACAACGGGAACTGAGGGGCACTTCAAAGACAGAACATTGGGAAATGCCCCCGTGTCAGGGCAGCGTGCAAGAACAGACACTGAGCCTGTGTCAGAGATCAGAGATGGACAGGGAAGGTGCTCCACAAGCAAAGGAAATGGTTTCAGAAGAAAACTGTCAAATACACAAAAGGAAGTTAAGACAGCTCACATTTTCAATGTGAAAATTTCTGCATTGGGAATTTGAAGTAGATGAGTGCACTGAATCTCTCCCAGTGTAAATGCTTGGTGTTCCCATTCGACGTGTTCAAAACTGAGTCCTTTCTCCTGTCCCCAGCCCCTCCTGCAGCCCTCGGCAGGCGCTGGCCTCTGTACCTGCTGCTCTTCTTTCTGTGACCACACCCAGCCCGGCAGCGCCTTTCTTCCGCCCCGAGATGCGCCCTGGTGCCAACCAGTCCTTGCCCTTCCTTCCTCCTCTTTCGGCAGCTTCTGTCCCCAGCTGTCCCGAAGCCTGCTGTGGGCCCCATCCCACTCACCACCCAGCAGTGAGAAGGAACTTCTTCAACACTGAAAACCTAAACAAAGTGTGCTCTTCAAACCCACTTGTAGTTTCTCATCCACAACCACACAGACACCCCTTTTTGTGCTCTAGGAGCTTCTTCTGCGTTGTGTAAAGTGGGTACAATCGCCTTTTTATTAATTCAGCACCACACACCTTAGTGTCTGGAGTGCATGGCCCGTGCTGAGAGCCTTGGAGGTAGAAACCTTTACACAGCGATCAACACCAGGGAACCCGCGACAGCGTTTCCAGATGTTTAGAAGGGAACAGTTTGCTTGCTGTCGCTCCCTTCTTTCCTCTCCTTCCCTACATGTCCCTAAGCGTGAGTGACCACACAGTGACGGGACATCCCAGTTCCTGAGGACGCCAGGAGGTCGCCGCAAGAGGGCGCTCCGGGTCGGGTCGGGCCGGGGGTCATAGAGCCAGGGCGGCCTGAGATGAAGGCGGGAGCTCCCAGGAGCCGCCCGAGGGGGCCACATAGTGAGTTCAAGGCCAGCGTGAACTGCGTAGTAAAACCCTGCCTCGAAATAAAAACAAAACAAAAACAAAAGCAGAAGAGAAACGTGCACACTGAATCCCTGCCGCCAGGCAGGTCTGGAGGCAGCACGGGGAGGGAGGACTTGAGGCTGGGACTGCTGGGCTGCACCCCACTCTCTGTCCAGTCCATAGATTGCATGGCACGGGGAGCACTCAGGCCCTGGCCTCACGCTGGACCCCACCCGTGTCCGGGAACCCTGGGAAGCCCTGTGGCCTGGCTCCTCACACAGCCGCGGCTGTCCTGTGCTGCAGAACGTTTAGCTGCTGCGCCACTCTGCCTCTGGGGCCAAGTTTCACAGCTTCTCATGTTTCTTTGTCTCAGAGTGAGCCTGATGTCTGTGGTTACAAACCCACTCTTATTTTTTATTTTATTTTAAAGAGAAAAAAACAAAAACAAAATAACTAAAACAAAGACAATTTAAAAAACACAAAAACTATAAAAACGATACAGAATTTCAAAACAAGATGATACAAAATCAACAATGGTTGGTGTATACTTATTGTTATCTTCAAAGTAGTTGCTCACATTACCAGGTATAGGTATGCAAGATTGAGCAAACAAACATTAAATGTTCCTTTCGATAAATCAATAGAAACTAGTAGTACAATTATCTTAGCTGTCATGTGTGTATATTTCCCTTCCTTCTTTCTTTTCTTCTTTCCCTCATTAACTTTCCCTTTCACAATATCTATTGTACCTTTTAGTTTCATTTATTCTTTCAGGTTCTTACACGAGGGAGACAATATGGTGTTTACACATGGGGGTCAGATTTATTTCGCTTATGAGTATGGTCTCCAGTTGCATTCATTTACTTATAACAGCCTCGACTCTTATCTTTCTTCATAGCTGAGTAATACTCCATTGTATAAAACCACCACATTTTTCTTATCCTTTCCTCATTTGATGGGCTGTTTCCAAGATTTAGCTATGACAAATTGTGCTGCTAAAAACATGGGTGCACATATATTGCTGTGGTCTGATGTTTCTAATCCTTTTGAGAAAGTACACAGAAGGGGAATATCTGGGTTGAATGGGACCTCTAATCCTAGTTTACTGAGGAATCTCCACACTGACTTCCAAAGTGGTTGCACCAGTCTAGAGTCATCCTTCGCTATATTACGGTTCACTCATTGTGGCTTCAATTTATTGTGAGTTTTTAAAAAAAGTTTATCTAATTCTGTATCATAGAGTTTTTGCTATATCACAGGATTTTGCAGTATATAGGTATTTATACAACATTATGATTTTAATTATTTTTGCCTAAAATTTTTTTTAAAATATAAAAATGTTAATTCAAACATATTAAAAGAATATTGTCGAAATAAAATACTGTGCAGTATGTATTTTATCAGTGGATAAATAACGAACTGTACACAATGGAAATACAAGTATTCCACTACTGCCAGCCTGAGCCCAGCAGAGCCACTTGGCTGGAGGAGGGGACCCGCACAGGGTGGGCGCTGCATATAGGCTAGGACGCACGTCGCTGCCCCAGCCTCCGCCCATGCTACGGGCCGGCCTGGGTGAGGCGGGCAGTGCAGGCCAGGTGTTGGGCTTGGCTGCGGCTGGGCTGGGTCTTATGCACCCTGCTCCCCCGCCCGCTCCTGCCTTCTATTCCCACCTGCCCTGTCCTCCCCTCCTGCCCTTGGAGCTGAGACACCGATTCACCCAGGTGTCCCAGGCACTGTACCAGCTGGAAGCGGAGGCTTTGGAAAGAAGAGTCTCCCCGGAAAGGCGTGCAGGCAGGCGTGCAGGCGAGCAAGGGTTTATAGGAGTGTGGGAAGGGTTTATAAAGCCTTAAAATACATATAAATAATAAAATAAATATAACACCGCTACTTCGTGGATTTTCACCTATTGGGGGGGTGCTCCTCTGGAATGTAACTGCCGTGATAGGTAAGAGATCACTCACTGTACATTGCCATCAACAGTGGAGAAGAGTTCCTTTTTCCCCATAGCCCCTCCAGCATTCGCTGTTGGTTGATTTTTTTGATGGTAGCCATTCGTACTGGGATGAGATGAAATCTCAGTGTTTTAATTTGCATCTCTAAATGACCAATGATGTTGAACATTTTTCATGTATTTATTTGCCATTTATATTTCTTCATCTGAGAAGTGCATAGTCATCTCAGATGCCCAATTTGGGATTGGGTCTTTGAATTTGGGAGGGAGGTTGAGCTTTTTCAGTTCTTTCTATATTCTAGATATATGTCCTTTGTCTGAGGGACAGTTAGCTAAAATGTTTTCCCATTCTGTGGATTGTCTTTTCACTCTATTGGTGATTTCTTTTGAACTACAAAAGCTTTTTAATAGGATGGGATCCCAGTTGTTGATTCTTTGAAGTGTTTTCTGTACAGTGTGTGTTTTGTTCATGAAGGCTGTGTCTACCTCTGTGTGTTCAAGATTTTGACCTACTTTCTCTTCCAGTAGATTTAGTGTTTCTGCTTTAATATTTAAATCTTTGGTCACTTTGACTTTAGTTTAGTGCATGATGATAGGCATGGGTCTAGTTTTAGTCCTTGGTATGTAGAGAGCCAGTTTTTTCAGCACCATTTATTAAAGAAGCTATCTTTCTTCCAGTGAACATGTTTGACCCCTTTGTCAAACATAAGGTAGCTGAGTGTGTTCGATGCTTTACATAGAAGACCCCCAAAAACTCCACCAAAAGACTTCTGGAGTTAGTAACTAAATTCAGTTGCATGGCTGGATACAAAGTCAGTACTCAAAAATCAACAGCATTCTTGTACACAAACAACAAACTTACTGAGAGAGAAATTGGGGAGACCACACCCTTCACAATAGCATCCAAAAAAATGAAATACTTAGGAATCAATCTAAAGAGAAAGTAAAAGATTTACTTATTGAAAATTACTGTACTCTGTAAAAGGAGACTGAAGAGGATATCAGAAAATGGAAAGATATCCCTTGCTCATGGATAGGAAGAATGAACATAGTGAAAATGGCCATACTCCCAAAATTGTTATACAGATTTAATGCAATCCCGATACCATTAGCATACCTCACAGATCTAGAGAAAATACTTCTAAAATTCATATGGAACCAGAAGAGACCTAGAATAGCAAGGGCAATCCTGGGCAACAAAAACAAGTCAGGAGGCATCACAATCCCTGACTGGAAATTATGCTACAAAATTACTGTAATAAAATCAGCATGGTACTCGCAACAAAATAGACCTAAAGACTATTGGAACAGATTAGAAGATGCAGACACAACTATGGACCAACTTTTAAAGCATGTGTGTGGAGTAACAACCACAGAAGATAGAAATAATGTCTCCCTCCAGACCAGAGCACAGACATGGTTGGCATCGACTATGAAAGATTAGGATCAGCTGGGCACAGTGGTGCATGCTTGCAATCCAGCACTCGGGGAGATTGGAGCAGGAGGATCACAAGTTCAAGTGTGGCCCAGGCAACTTAGTGCCTTAGCAAGACCTCATGTCAAAATAAAATATTAAAAGGTGGACTGTGTAGCTCAGTGTAAAGGCTCTGGGTTCGCTCCCCAGTACTCAAAAAAAAAATTAGGTTCCCAAAAAATTTGGGTTCCTCTCCTCCAACACAACCCTTGAACGTTGCCCTCTGGGAGCCAGAACACCGCTAGGGACGCAGCCTATGCGCCACATTCTGAGGCCTGCTCCTACTGTGACAACCTGTGTGGCCCCTGACCGGAAGTCTTCTGGTAGGCAAGCTGATAGGGCTGTCTGTGGGTGAGGCCCCTGACTGACTGTCCCTGTTTTTGGCAGCAAGCTGGCGGTGTCCCAAAGCACAGCGATGGCCAGACACTTGTGCATGCCACTCAAGAGGCCCACCCCACACCATTCCCAGAGGGCCCACTTCCCTGGCCTAGTAGTCCTCACTGCACTGCCCTGCCCACCTGAACGCTCAGGAGCCCCAGGCGGGGTGGGTGCACACTGTCCCTGTCTGCAGCCCATCCACACCACCCTTCCAGAGTCTCTGCTCAAATGTTGCCACCAGGCCATCTTGAGAGGGAGCTTGACACACCAGCTTCCAAGGGTTGATGATACTACCCTGGAAGCACAGTGGTGTGTGCACACACATGTGCATGCATTTGTGTGTGTGTGTGTGTGTGTGTGTGTGTGTGTGTGTGTGTGTATGCCTGTGCCCAAGCTCTGAATCTTTCTGATTTACCCTGGAGCAGAAGACCCAAGTCACAGCTTTGAGCACTGTGTCTTCTCTAAGTTTTGTGTCCCAAGCTAGAATTCTCCTGTGCACAAATTGACTTTAACTCTCCCTGTGCTTGGATAGAGGCAAAGCCTGCGGTCAGAGTGTCAGTCACTTACGGAGGGCGCAGTAGGCATGAGGTCGCTCTCTGTCCTCCCTGTCTGCATCGCCGTGTGGACCCGGACGGACTCATAGATGGCTGGCTCCTCCACATCCTTGGGATAGGGGTGTTTGAGCACGATCAGGGTGCCTGCATGAAGATAGAAGGTGTCAGTGCGCTGAAGGGGACGGGTAGCTGCTGCAGGCTCACAGCCCTGTGCATTTGCTCTTTCATGCCCAGCATTTGTGGAGTGGAACCTTAGCCGGACACTGGGGCAGTGACAAGTCCTTTGTCCTTGTGCTTGCAGCATAACTGGATGCAGTCACCTGAATGACCGTGTGAGATCCATGGCCATCAAGAGAACACAGCCCGAGGACAGGACCTGGGCGGGGACACCTGGGGTCACTTCACCCAAAGGCAGCCTGGCCTGGACCTTGCACAGTGGCCCTGGAGAGGCACCTGGGCTGGAGGACCCAGGCCCTGTGCTCCTTCCTTGGACTGGAGAGTAAGCCGCAGCCCTGTGGGGCTCACAGCATGGGACACCCCCCGCCCACGCTCTGCCCCCATGCCAAGGAAACAGAAGGGAGCTTTGCTCTTTCTCCTGAGCACAGGGTGCAGGGCTGAGCTCCCCATCACGGCCTCCACCTCCACATCCATCTCCAGGAGGAGCTCCTCCCCTCCATCAGTGAATCAGAAACTAGAAACTGTGCCTACAAGAAGAGTAAGCACGAGGGGTTTTCCTCCTTGATATAGTTCCTGCCTTTTATTTCATGAGAGTGTTTGCTACAGCAGGTCCAGGGCTGCATTTGATGTGGTGGAAAAGTAAGAACTCAGTCAGTCAGTCAGTCAGTCAGTCAGTCAGTCTGTCAGCATACACCCCAGGGCTCTGCCAGGCGTTCATGTGGGCAAGAACAGTAGCAAACGTAAGCAACCTGCTCTTCAGGAAAATGTGCCTCCTAGGTCGGGAACCAGAACTGTGTCAAGGAGCATTCAGTTGTAAGGAAGAATAATGGAATAATGGAATGAGGCACAAGAGGACCATGGGGAGTGTGGACTTCTCAAATGCAGTTTGAGAAGTCCTAGGGAGCAGAGGCCTGTCTCTGACAGACTTGCACTAGGTGAATGAATCTGCACACGATGCTCTACGTGGCGTGAACGCACAGGGCCCGGGTTATGACTATGAACCTGAAGCAGGCTGCTGCTAGCCAAACCCCCCGACCAGGGGGGGCCTCTGAGAGGCACAGGGCTCTGCAAGCTCTGCGGCCACGGCAGCTGCTGGGTCCAACCAGGCACCTCTTGGAGTCTAAGCCCAAGGGACAGTGGCCCTGGGCAGATCCCAGACACACTGAGGAGCTTAATGGCTGGCTGTGGCTCACCCAAGACCTGGGCCCCCTGATGCTGCCTTCTCAGGCTGCTGAAGCCTTGAGGAGATAGTGTGAGGAGAGGAGATAACGGGAGCTAGTATTTCCTCTTGGGACAGAGCGTTTTCAAATAGCAATGACTGCTCTGCTGAGGACATGGACTAAAATGCTAAGTTACAATAGACCCAGGCGCCACGTTCTGGTGTCACTTGGCCACCAGCAGTGACACAGCTCTGAGCGGGAGGAGAGGGGCGAAGCCCTTCTGGGCAGCCCAGAAGTCAAGGGTGCTTTCAAATCCCAAGTCTTGTCTTCAGAGTCAGTGCTGAGTGCTCCTGGTTTTCCCTGACGTACCATGAAGATGACCCTTCAGACGACCCTGGGGACAGACCTGCTGGCATTACCAGCAGCGCCAACATTCCTGCCTCTCAGGGTAAACAGCTGCAGAGCTGGTGGCTCAGGACAACTCTGCTGTGGCATCGTGCAGCCCTGGAGGTTGCAGTCTGGCCTGGGCTGCTCTCATCTAACTGGGTGTGAGCAGGGCCGCTCTCCTCTGCGTGTCCTGGTGGGGGCAGCCCGCACTTGGACATGTGGCACTTTCCTCCCACCTTTGAAGCCCATGCCGGGACTTCCCTCTGGTTCTCCTGCTTTGCCTTGACTGTTACCCTAGAAACGCTGTGAGCACCATGGCTCTGGCTAGGCGGTGTGTTAGTGTCCTCCCCAAGGCCTCTCACCCCGGCCTTCTCCCCATCTGCAACCCTAATGCCCTTTTGCTGTACAACATCTGCGGGTGCAGGTTGATTTGTTTGAGGCTCATAGCTACAGTCTCTGGGGGACAGGTGTGTGGCAGAGGTCACCAGCAGGCCACCACGCTTCCCTTTCTGAGAGCCCCTTCTGAGCAGGCCTGGGGTCAGCTTTGTCTTTGTTTACCTCCTGATGGCTAAGAACCTCTGACAGACGAAGGCCTAAGGAGGAATGAATGAACAAATGGATGAATGAGTGCCACAGCAGTTCAAGTCCAGCTCAAGTCCGGCCTGGGGCATGGACAGGGGACAGGATGACCTCAGGCCTGACTCTTCAAGTCTGGTCTGAAGGGGGAAATCTAGATTCAATCTGAAACCTCTTCTCCAATGTAACCCAAGTTAGGCTGGGAGACCAGAGTGACTGCAGATGTGATCGGTTAAGCTGCACAGCCCAGCAGGAGGCCAGACTGATGGGTGATGGAAACAGAAGCGACCTGTAAAGGGGGAGCGCCCAGGGAAAGGCATCTGTGCCTCGAGGAAAAGCCAATTCCGTCTTGGCACAGTTGCCAGGTGACCTCGACCACCTTTTGGGAGAGACAGTCCCAGCCCAGGACACAAAGATGGAGCCTGGGCCCTGGCCCCCCACCATGGCCTGAACCCCAAGCTCCAGCACTCCAGTTCCCTACCTGCCTGCACACAGCTGCTTCTGTGGAGAAAAGGCCACCAACTCGTGTGTGCACTGCTGGAGTGGACAGTCAGTTCCTGCCTTTGACAGGAACCTGGACTCAGAAATGCTCTGTGCAGGAACATTTTGAGATGAGCAGAAGTGGACCGTGATTTTTCAATGCACCTGAAGCCTGCGGGTTGTCATGGTTACCAAGCTGCTTCTTTATCTTCACTGGGTTGTTTGCTTGCTTTTAAATTCTGGGAGGATGTATTCATACATTCATCCTGTGCACATATTTTTGTTTTTGATTCAGTGAACCAGGGTCAGTTTCTGTATTTGCAATCAAAAGAAACACCTTTAATGCAGCCACTGAAGATTCATAATCTCCACATGGCCCTAGGATGTCAGTGGGGCCCCAGCGAGGAATTCTGGGAGAGAGGCATTCACACCAGTGAGCTCCAGGAGCTGGAGAAAGGCTGAGAGGAAGCAGCGGTGGGAGAAGAAGAGGAAGGTGGAGCATCAGTGCTCCAGCCTCGGAAATGGGGCCGCATGCGAGTTTCAGTTCAGCTTCTGAGTTGCATGAAGGCAGCAGTTTCCTGCCTCTGCCCAAAGCCCGGTTTCACCTGTGCCTCTGAGGGGCCCACTTTTTTGAAGAGCAGGGCTAGCCCAAGGCAGGCACCCCACGGCTGCAGCTGGACAGATGTTCATGACTCCACTTGCCAAGGTGCTGAGGACACCGGGGATGACCACCTGTGCTCGACAGGAACCAAGGAAGGAGGAAGTGGGGCTCTGTGGTGGCTGAGAGTGGGGTGCATGTGGCTTCCAGTGGGGGACTCTGTTGAACGTTTCCTTGAGGCCAGGGGTTGGCGCTGGCTCTCCTCCCCAAGAGTACTGAAAGGGGCTGGGACCACATGGCTCCACTTCTGCTCTGCATCACAGTCACTCATGGAGCCCAAGGCTGGTCAGTGCCCAGCACCTATTTGTTAAGGTGGAGACCACACTGTCCACATTTCCTCACTGCCCTCAGGCTCAGAAAACAAGTCTGCAGCTGCCCCACTGGCTCGGTCTCCTCTTGATGTGGGAAGCAGCTTTCTTGCGGCACCTCTGAGAACATCCACCTCTGCCTTCTCTGTTGCCAGCAGCTCTGCAGATGGACTCTAAGCCCCGCCCATTCCCCCCCCCCCAGAGCTCCAGGATTTAGTTTCCAGCCTCCCAGGGGAAACTGAGTCTCACAGTGCAACTGAGTCTGCTGTCATCCACATCTACCCAAAGAGGGAGCAGCCCAGCGGCCAGGACAGGCGATGGCTCTAATATCCAGTCGGGCTGAGGGCAGGGAGGAAATAGGCAGCGAGATGGGAAGCTGTGATTTTACACCATCATCTCAAGATGCAGTGTCACCTGAGCACCTTCCACTTAGGCCCGTTTCGCCTCATGTGCCCCTCCTAAACCCTGAGAGGCTTGAATATGTCCTCAAGGCCATATATTTGGGCTGTGTTTAACTCAGACCTGCAAACCTATGAATTTCAGGGACTTCCACCGTTAAAGAGACAGGACCATTGGGAACCATGTTGCTAAATTCAAGCACCTGCAGACAGTTGGCATTTCATCTGTGCTGGCCGAGCCTGGTCCTGGGTTAGCCCATGACGAGCGACTGCCCTTAGGAAACAGACACCAAGCAAATGACAAACAGTACAAATCCCCAGTCATCATCTTGGGGCACCAGTGACCATGTAAATACCCCAGTCCACATCGACACCCTGAGACCACACGTGTACCCTGGAGACACCACGCTGTGCCTCACCACCAGTGCGTGGAACCTTCCTGAGTCTGTCCTTCTTTGATTCTGCTTTATAAACCTGTCTGCATCTCTCACTGAGCCAATCTGAAATTCTTTTTTGGATAAGAGTCAGGAACCCAGCCCAGGGCACATGGAGGTTGCCATGTCCTCCCTGGGGGACCTTGCCTGGGTCCCTTCTGTGGCAGGGTCACTCTCTTTGGAGTGGTCCTTGGTTCCACCCCCAATATGAATCCACTGTGGACTGGCCTGAGATCTGAGAAGGATGTCACCATCTTCTGATGAGCACATATTCTGGTCCCTAAAGGACAGTTCATGACAGCAAAGTGCTTCTGGCTCTTGCCTGGAGCCTGATAGACTTCATTATAGTCACAACCACAGAGCTCATGGCCTACTGAGCACCATGCCAAATGCCTCAATTCAGTCACCATAACAAGACATCATAGCACAAACTCTAAGCATCCACTCACCTATATGAGAGCATGAAACCAAGCTCAGAGCGGTCTATAACTTGACTGAGGATGCAGAGCTGGCAAAGCGGGAACTCCAGGGTCATTCATAGAGTCACATGGAAGTCTCCGGGGTAT